TTGAGAATTTTATTTTTCACAAAAGTGATTGTCCGTCGTCATCTGTGTCAATGTTTTACTTTTTCGACTTCTTTTTGAAAACTACAAGCCTGGATGCTTTGATACTTGGTGTATATGTACCTTGGGTAGACCTCACTTAGATTTGTTCATTTCATGATATCTTCAATTCTCTAATTTTGATGAATATTTTTGTAATTTTTTTGGTGAAAAGTGATATTTTCGACTTCTTGTTGAAAACCACAAATTCAATTGCTTTGATATTACATATATAGGTACTACATGTGGACCTCTCTCAGATTTGTTCATTTTGTTAATGATATCTTTAATTCTCTAATTTTGGTGAATATTTTTTTTTAATTTTTGGTAAAAAGTGATATTTTTGACTTCTTGTTAAAAACCACAAGTCCAATTGCTTTGATATTATACATATAGGTACTACAGGTAGACCTCTTTCAGATTTATTCATTTCATGACGATATCTTCAATTCCCTAATTTTGATGAATATTTTTGTCATTTTTTGGTGAAAAGTGATATTTTTGACTTCTTGTTGAAAACCGCAAGTCCAATTGCTTTGATATTAAATATATAGGTACTACATGTGGACCTCTCTAAGATTTGTTCATTTTGTGATGATATCTTCAATTATCTAATTTTGATGAATATTTTTGTCATTTTGGTAAAAAGTGATATTTTCGTCTGATTGCTTTGATACTATACATATTAGTGGCGTTCACGTTAGAGATCTCAGGACCGAGTCGGCACGTGCCGAAAAAAAACTTGATCTTGGCCCGATAGATGCTTGGGACCGAAACTCAGCACGTGCGGAGATTTGCTGCTTGAATGCTCGACATGAGCCGAAATCATGCCTTTGGTAAATTTAAGAGAACATGTGCTGTAAATGTAGTTTGAAATGACGATGACAGGAAATGCAGATATACTAGTATATGGTTGGATGCTTTGGTAATGAATGAAATGAATGCAAACCGTCGTCAGCGACGCATATTTTTATGCTGCTGCAACTGCTATTTTCTTGCAATGCTACAATGACGTGAAAAAAAAAAATTGTTTTTCAAATCTTCTTAGCCGTTCATATGTACGATGGCTTGTAATAAATACCATAACAACAAATTGATACAATTTCACTATAGCAATTATTATTATCATCATATGCTATCATTTTCCATGTTTGGGCCAAATAAGAAATGGTCCTAAGTGGGTACCGAATAACATGCTGTAATCCCTCTGCAAACACAAAAAATTAAAAATTTCGGCACAGGCAGAGATCCCGTAACGTGAACGTAGTAATTGTTCATTTTCTAATGATATCTTCAGTTTTTTAATTGGAATGTGCATTGCTAACAGTGGAGCTATCTATAATTTATTAGAAATTCACACATATTACTGTTGGTGTTTGACGTATATAATCCTTCTCTCGAATTTACAGCGAAGCTATAGATGGATTCTTGGAAGAAATGAATATGTTCACTATATACTTTGTAATCATTGGTGTTGGAGCATTTATAACAAGTTACATACAGATTACAGCGTTGGTATCAACATCAGAACACCAAGCTTTTGCTATGAGAACAAGTTTCTTTGCAGCTGTAATTAAACAGGAGATTGGTTGGTTTGATACCAATGAATCTGCAGAGCTCACAACAAGACTATCAGAGTAAGTAATTAGCTATGATCATCAGAATGGCCATATATTTCAAATGTGCCTGGCTCTTAGAGATGGTGAAATCAGTTTGTGTGCACTACTCTCAATACTTGTGGTCTATAAGTTTGATTGTGTTTTTAGTCATGGTCATTTTTTCATTTTTTTTTGTATTCTCAGCAATAGCCAATTAGAAATTTTAGGGGCGATTTTGGTTGATTCTGGAAAAAAAATCATAAAATAAAAGTCTACTTGAAATCAAAACTAATTAGCACAGCTTTTCTACTATCTCCCTGCGAGTTTCTTGATTATCAACCACTAAGTGATACATCAAAGAGATCTTTTGGTTGGCTTTATACTATACAATATCCAGTGAGGCAGTAGTCATTCAACTTGAAAATGACAAATATTCTGTGAAGTTTTAATAACATACCGATACATTCAATATTATTTTATTGCAGTGATATCAACAAGATCAAAGCAGGAATTGGAGATAAGATGGGTTCATTTGTTCAGTTTTTTTCAGCATTTCTTGGTGGATTTATTGTTGGTTTTATTTATGGTTGGAAATTAACACTGGTCATCCTGGCTGTGAGTCCACTACTTGCAGTATGTGCTGCATTGATGACAAAGGTATGTTATTATAATTGTATATAATATATTCCAGATTTTCCTGAGGGTTCACAAGAACAAAAATAAGAATTAATGATATCAGTGGGCATTTGGATTAAGTTTATTTTATACAGGTTTAAAACCTGTTCAATCTGTAGTCTTCTGTATCCAAGCAAGAGTGTTTGTCATTCTATTAAAAACAGGGATAAAAAACATGTGAAAAGACTGTATACAGTGCTATATATCATCATAAGAAATCCTCAAATGACCAAAGGTCATGCTTATCACAACTCATCTTTCTAAAATGTAAAGATTTAAATGCGATGTACAGCAGGGCTTTTAGCAAATGTCATCAAAGCAAGTTATGTATCCCCCCCCCCCCTGCATTGAAAGTTTTCATGGTCTGCATCACGACTCATCAGATCAATGTCCAGCATGGTCCATTGCAGTGACATAAGTTGACTCTTTCCAGTTCATATTTGAATCAAGACTTTTTCATAGCCATGCATGATTGTCCTGTTAGGAATATTTTCAGTCCTACATGTAGTTATTTGAAGTGTATTTATTTATAATCATTTTACCAGGTATTTATAATCTTGTCACTTTTAGACCTATCGGTAAATTTGTACTATTGCATATCACTCATTTGTACAGTATTTGTACAGTAAGCTATCGCAATCAAAGTCTGTTATATTAACATGTATTATTATACATTGTCACTGTAACACTATAAGTTATAGGGTGCTGTAATTTTGTGGTATTGCACTAGGTATTTTCATCCTACAATATTAGGAAGCGCAAATTCCAAATATGGAAATATGATTAGGCATGCAGATGTCCTCTAATAATAATAAAAAAAAAACATGGCTGCCCCCAGGGTTTGACCAGACCCCACACAATGATGTTCACTAAATCTGTTCTAAACGTTTTGGATTTCAGCATTCCCTGGGAGGAAAAGATGTATAATAATAAGGTTATTACAATGATACTGCATGTCGGCTGATATTCCTGCTATTCTGTCTTTGTGCACACTTTGCAGTATCCTCGTAATAACCTCATATTTCAACTAAATTCTGTCATGCTTTGTTGCTTTGAATTGTGTTTTTAGAGCATTCTAAACACAATTTAACCTTAGTACATAGTATGTAATGCAGCGAATGGGAAATTATGTTCAAAGCAATTATCAACAATTAGTTCACTAACGAATGCGACTTTGGAGGAACCTTGGTTAAAGTCCGCACGTGCTTGTGTTCGACCGAGCTGGATTGATGCCAGGATAGTGCATTAAAATTGCCATTTGATAGGGAGATGGCCCTGTCATGTAGTCCCAAACAGGAAATGACTTCTGTGGCAAAATGCACTATGTGTCAGCACTAGCACTTGTAATTTGCACATACAAAAAAAGTCAGGAGAGAAAACAGTGTCATTCAATGTCCGGAACTGTCGCCTGGCACAAAAACATTTAAAAACATTTATTTTCTTCATAGATGATGACTGATATGACAAGTTCCGAGTTGGATTCTTATGCCAAAGCTGGTGGTGTTGCAGAGGAAGTATTATCAGCCATCAGAACTGTGGCTGCCTTTGGTGGTGAAGATAAAGAAAGTAAAAGGTACCCATTTGTGTGAATATTGGGAGTGTTATTTATAGAACACTGCTGCATTTGAATAGAGTTTTTCTATTGTAG